TTTGTATAAGAAAAATACATACGTTCACTAGGAAAGCCATCCTTGAGTCAGCATTCCAAGTTATCCTCACTAGTGTTAAGCATGAATAGTCCTCAATTTTAGGCTAAACAAGACAAAGCCATACCTTGTTCAAAACTGGATTAACTTTGCTCTCAAGCTGATCAAGTGCTTCATTCAGTTCAGACAGCAAACCAATTAACTCCGGAGCAGAACTGTAATACCAAGATTTGCAGAAGGGGAAGATGTAAGAAAGCCATAGAGAACTTCAACTTCACACAGAAAGAGGCAATTCAAATGAACAGTTCAATGTTAGGGTTGCAGCTAGAATATGAGAAAATTGAGAGTTCTTATTCATGTACTTGGAATGATCGATTACAACTCTCCCACATTTGAGAGCCTCAGGTCTTTCCCACTCAAATAACCAAATTCAGAGCCCTCTCACTTTCTATGTGGAAATACATCACTCCACTTCTCACTTTGCCACATCACCACATCTCCAAGCCAATTGAACAAAAAGACTTATGTACCCTTCTAATAACCTCCTTACCCACCTGCCTGTCCATCCCTTACCCCTCTCAAATTCCCTATTGCCATATATTTATGTCAGAATAACAGGCGGCTTATCATGCAAAAGAGAGAGAGAATGAAATAGAAAACAGAACAAAAAAAGGCATTTTGAATCACAAAACTAGCAGAAGAACCAAAAAAACTAGTACATGCACCATCAAGAATAATGAAAACAAGTGTGCCACGTAAAATTTGTGAATAAAAAATGTTGCAAGTCAGTGGTACAGGCATGACTACGTGAGCGGGAATAACCACATAGGACAAGATCTTTCAACATGCTTTACCAGGATCCTGTTGAATGAATCTGAGCTTAGCGCTGTTTGCCATCTTTTTCAGAGAAGTCCTTGAGCCTGGGTGAAATTGACTATATCTTTGAATTTGCTAATGAGCCTCTTGGCCAAAAAGGTCGATATAAGCTTGCTCTGCATATCTTTCAACCAATCGACAAACCGGATTGCTATACTAACAAGCAAAGTTATTCTATTTTAGTGAGGCTATTCATTAGTTGAATCCATGTCCACGAATTTCTCAGAGGGGTAGTGGTGTGGGCTTTTTGTCAAACACCCTTTTGGATGGTCTATATGTTAATAGAAAGATCGAGCAGGTTCTGGAAATACTTGGTCAGATCTATATGAATGGACTAAAGATTCAAGTAATTTCATCATCACTTAAAATCTTTCCAAGAATGAAGAATAGAAATCCAGCCATCACAAGCTATTAACTTTATTATTGATGCAGCTTTAACCAAAGGCCAAAAGTGGAGGCTAGTTAAATGCCAGGAGGGGCTTCCAAAATAATAAATAAATATTACCTGCATAAGACATCCATCTGCTCCTCCCTTGTAAGAGCATTCACGTCTTTAGCAATCTCCTGATATGTAGCATCCATGTCATCCGGAGCTTCATTTCTTGCTGAAGTTTTTACATCAGTTCCTTTTGCAGATATTTCCTGTGGAGGCAGAAACTATAGTCATGTAAGAGTTGATTGAACTTTGTAGTTAAATTTTCAAAGAACTTCTCCAACTGAATTGTTTTTACTTGAGAGAAGAAAAGTTGATAATTCAACACTAGAGAAACAAATACAGAATACCTCTAGAGTTAATTCCCTATCACTCTCTTCTCCAAGGCCAAAATCCTCCAATGAGAAAGTCTTTGCTTTCTCCTTCTGCAATCGGATTACCTCTTCCTCCTCTTCTGCAAGGGACTCATCATCACTGGATTGGATCTTCATTAAGTTAAAAACCAAAAGATTATTTCAAGTTCAACTACATTCCAAGTCTATAAGACAAAAAAAATATAAAATATAAATTAGAAGACATTGTATCTTACAGCAATAGAAAAGCCACAAAATTCCAATCAGATTGCCAATCGAACTCAAACAAATAAACAAGTTAAGTAGAAAGGAAATGACAACATCATATGTCCTCACCTCAAAATCACGATTATCAGCATCATAGTATTTGCTCTTCCTTCCACCCCATACGGTCTTTTGTTCTTCCATGTCTTCATCTTCATCCTCGTGCATTTCATCTTCCACTCCACCAAACTTTTCCCGTAAGAATTTCTGTTGCCTAGCAACTATGACAAACAGATAAAAAGGGATCATATTTAAGGATCAAAAACCACATTTATAAAAAAAATATATCCAATGAAAGAAATGACAGGGCTTTTCCGAATTTAATACTGGTAGCAATATTGTTAAAAAAGATATATCTTGAGGATAGTTGTATGAAGTTGTTTTTTATATTTAAAAAAATGGATAACTGCCTGGGTCCAGAAAATATGGACAAGAAAAGGGTAGCTTTTGTACACTTTTTTAGGTGATCCCAGAGTTGGTTCGGCCCTTCTTCCAAACTTCATTTGTTTTAACAAAAGATGCCTTTTCATTTAAAAAATATAAAAAACATGAACACTCTATTTTCAGCCATTGCTGGCGTCTAACATGTGCCCAACAAGGAGACACTTTTAACATAAATGCAGTCTGATTATTTTAAAATCATGTACACATAGGGAACACCCAAGGGACACGTGCCAAAAACATATTTCTGAAATAAAGAATAAAATATTTAAAAAATAGAAATCAAATTTTTTCTTTTCAATCTAGAGCAGAGATATTTACATCAAGAAACAAAGATATAAAATGAATAAGATTTCAAAAAAAAATGAAAATAAACTGAAAAAATAAAGAAAAATAATTAGATTCGTTAGACAAAACTTAATGACGTGGTGTGGGAAGATATGAGAGTGGTATTTTAGGTGCAAGTTTTTCTTCATCGGAATACTTGGATATATTGAGGGACAATTGATTTTATTTTGTTGTTGAAAAATGTTGTCCATGGAGAAATATAATTTACCTTACAATATTCAAATTTACTTTAAATCGAAAAGATGAGAATACAAGCTTCAGCTTGTATCTTTGACTTCTTTACGTCATACAAATCATTATACTTGAAAGAATCAATGTGCAAAAGTATAAAAAATATTTATGAAAAAGATAGGTAATTTATCATGTCCTGTCATTTTTTCAAGAAAATGGTACATCTCCATGTCCGTATTGGGTCATGTTTGTGTCATGTCTGTGCTTCTTAATATTGACTATAAAAAATGCTTAAAATGACAGATTTACCTGACCCATGAGTTATAGAAAATTGTTATTCTACAACAAAAATGAGCAGAGACACAAGAAACTTATAATGTATGAATATGAACATCTCAACCCATATTTCTTACTTTTTGCAGCAAAACCAGTATCATGGATATTTTCCTCTTCATCGTCATTGTCATCATCAACACCCTATAAAGATATAGCAAACGTAAGTACTAAGATCACTTTAGTAGGAATTGGCAACTCCCATGCATGGATTAAAGAAAAAATCAGCTTTGGAATTGAAATGCACATACAGCCTTTGTGATAAAGAAGTCAAAGATACTTGGTTTCAGCCAAATGCACAAAAACCTCTTCCAATTGGCACAAAGAAAAGAAAGGCTGAATTTAAGGGAGCATAAAATTTACAGCATACGAGCTGACTTTCTTCTTATATGGTTCTAATTTCCAACGTCACACACATTAAGGGAACGAAAAACTTAGCATCTACAGTAAAGAAACAGAGTCAGGAAAGATTCCTCCCATTTTCATCTCCTTATACGCATCACTAATACCATATTCTTAATTCAAACAACATAAGAACCAATAAATAGAAACTACTGATAAATCCATGGGATAAGTACAGGATGAGGATCCAATAAGCACAAAATGAGACCCAGAGAATCACAACTGAGACAACAGGAGAAGGAAACTAAATGACGCAGCTTCAAGAAAGGATGCCAGACACTTATGAAAAAGGTTAACGGCTACTATTTGGTCACTCTCTATCAAAGAGTCCAGACCCACCACCATAACCAACCCGTCTCCTTGGTCCTTCACCACCCTAAACAGAAGGCTTGCTAGGGCCAGCGACATCCACAGCCTTATAATGATCAGCTTGCACCTTCATCATAAGCTCCATCTCCTCTCCCTTGCCAAATCTCTCAATTGCATCAACTAACAAATTACTTGTTGAGGAAAGGGTTGTTGCCTACTTGATTCAAGGTGAGGAACCCACACTCCTTGTCACTACTCAATAAAATACAGCTCTACCCACACACTCCCTCACTTATCCTTGATCTCCTGCTAAAGACATACGATACAACCCTAATCCCTTCTTATTGTCTAAAAAATTTAAGTGGTCCATAATTCAAAATAAAAATACATACAGTTCGCTTTTGATCCTTGTGTTCAGCTAGCTTCTTTGGATAAACTTTGTTCAAGTTTTCTTTTGGGTTCCTTGCCAAGAACGAAACCAAAGGATCTTTAAAGACATGGAGCACTCCTTTGGCTGGTTTTATACGCATGATCTTTTTGGTTGTTACTTAGTGTAAATGTTCTCCCAATTTTCACTACTATAGCTATTCTTCGTTTTTATCCTGAAGTTTTTTCGTAACTCCCTTGGATTGGTGTTTGCCCCTCTTATCTTTTCTTCTTTTTATAACCGGAAGTTGGAGCTTTGCTCCCCTATACTCAAGGCACCCGCGTCTGCTCTAAGGCCCGAACCCAGGAGGGTTTGCCCCTCCTTTGTAATTTTCATCAATAAAATAGTTTCTCATAAAAAATAGTAATAACAATAATTTGTGTTAATTTCATCCAACTTTAAGAAGTATTAAAGTCAATCATGCAAAAACTAATTGATCGGCTGGAAGTAAATGATATTGGCAAAGATACTTCTACAACTTGAGAAAAGACAAAATGTAGGAACCTCTAAATCAAAAACAGGCTGCTCATCATCTCCATCCGACTCTGGAGCATCACCATCAATATCAAGTGGAATAACATCCCTCTGCCGGTGAACTGCAAACATGACGCACATCATTAGACTCCATTGCTTCCATTTCCTCAACCATTATAACCATGGATATTAAAGACACCCAAAAGAATTGAAATATCAGTCAACATCGAAACATATGAAAACACTGTTAAATGACCAAAAGAATAATCTTACAGGCATCAATTTCATCGTCCATATCTTCAGAGGCAGCATCATCTTCTGCGACTCTTCTCTTAGAGCTTCTATTGTCTGGCTTACGACTCTTTCTCTTGCCCATAATTAGCTAATAAACTCAACTCAAGTAAGAGAATGATACACCTGCAACAACTTTTGGTTGCCTATAAGCCTGTAACCAAAATAGACCACAAAGCACTCAATTTTCCACGTTCTATCATCCAAAGACCAGACTAAAACATGACTTGCAGTAGTTTCCAGAATCACGTGTCCGTAGAAAGTCAATGGGAAGTTCCATTCCATGTTGAAAAGAAATCCCCGTGGAGGAAACTTCCCATGTTGCTTATTCAGTGAATTAGTTAGTTGGGCAAAACTTTAGAACCGAGTATTGAACAAAGTTTTTTCCGCTACAAATTAAACCGAAACAAACCCAGCATCCGCTTCAAATGCAAACAACAGAAAAACAAAGAAGCTCAAAGAATTAACAATGGAGTTGCTTTTGTTTATACCTGTTGCGGCGAGCGGTAATTGGTGAGTTAGGGAGAGCTGAAGCCTGATGAGGAGGGGAGGCGATGGCATGTGGTTTATAGGGTATCGAACAAAACACAACAATCTGGTTTTCAAGCGAACCGGTCGGTTCGTGGTTCGGGTTTTAGGGTTCGGGAAGAATTATACAACAATCTGAAACATGTGTAGGGTTTGAGAGAGTACCTGAGGAAGAAGATGAAGGTCGGCGGCGGCCGGTCGGCGGTAGAGAGCGGGACAGACCGAGCTAACCGCTAATGTGAAGCAATAGAGAGAGGGAGAGCAGCCGGTGTGGGTTTTGTCGATTTTTTTCCCTAATAAACTTTCTCTTTCATACAAAAAAATAATAAAAATAATAATAATAAATACACTTTCTTTATAACTTTATATTTTCTTTCCAGGTTAGAACAATGGGGCCTCGAAATTATTCATAATAAGATATTGGATACAACTAAAAAGGGTGTGCATTTTTCGCTGATTATAAGTTAGGCATTTTAACCATTTCGTCATTTGATATATGGTGAATAACCAAATTTAAATCAAGAATTGGTCGGACCTCACAATCACTAGCCAATATGTTTTTATCGATCAACTAGGAAAAAAAGAAAGTATTGTGTCAAACTCTTCTTTGATGTCAATGTAATAGCTATAAAAAATCATGATTCCCGGAGAAATATAGAAGAAAGAAGCTTGTTGAGTTTGGGAAGAGGCTTTGATTGATAAAAAGAATAATCTACTTCAACTATTGAGAGTTTAAATCTCTCTCTTGTTCTGCTCGACGAATATGTTTGCTTCTTCATACAAAAGTTAAAATTAGATAGACTAAAATTTACATTTTAAAAGTATATAACGTAGATCAAAGTAAAAAAAAACAATATATATAGAAACTAAAATAGTATTTAAATCTAAAAAATTATATATTTTTTAACTCATATTTTTTTAATGCATATCTTAACTTTTTCTTTTTGTTTTACAGTGATATTTTAACTCATATTGAGGATAAGAAATTAACCTAAAAGTTATATAGCAAAGTTGACTAATGAAATCCAAACTTTCCACGAAATTAAGTTTGGAATAAAAATCAAAGCGAGCATAGCTCAACGTTAATTGACATATACTTTCAATCTCAGTTGTGAGTTTGAATCCTTCTCCAACATATTGTACTAAAAAAAAATAAAAAAGTTCGGAATAAAAAATATCACTTATTGAATAAATCTTCCAAAACTAATAATTTTTCAGATAACGTCTATTAAAATTTGTAGTAAATACTTTTTAGACAAAAATCTACCGTAAAAATTGAAACATTTATTAACTTTAAAATCCAATACGATGAAATTGAACTTTGATAAAGATCCATACCCTCACATTTTATGAAGTAAAAAATATTTGACAGAATCGTCCCTCTTGTGATATTAGGTTTGTTTAAATTGTATTTTGGTTATAAATTTCATATTGCTGTGAAATTAATTAGATGTTGGATCTAAGTATAACTTAGGGTTTATTTGGGACGATAGAAAAAGAGATTTAAATATAATTTATCTTTTAAAATCTAGTTTTCCTAAAATCAAAATTTTAATTTGTCAAAATCAACAAAATATTTTAACAATAACAAAAGTGATTTTGACATTACTTTTTTTGTGAGTTTAAATCCACGTTCTCTCTCACGTGTTATTATATTAAAAAAAAATAATAATAAAATTTCAATTTCGTTGTTTATATACTCATTTTGTCCACTTAGAACTCTATCAATACGCCTTAAATATTTTGACAATTTAGAGAGAAAAACGTAAAAATTAAACAAATTAAAAAATATAACTTTAAAGAGTCAAAGTTTTTCCAATTATAAACGTCGATCACTTTAACATAATGTGAGAAATTAAACTCACAGAGTTTCTTCAAAAATAAAATTCAAACCAATTAAATTATTTTTTAATGTTCTTTTATTTATTACCATGTAGATTTTTCTTTTAAAAGCGTGATTTCCTTGTATCGATTTAGTCCTTGTACTTCAAAATTTACCCAACCCATCAGCTTAAACTTTTAGGTTGAGTGGTTGTTTATTTATCTTTAAGATGGTATAAGAGCGGGATCCTGTATTCAAACCCCTGCAAATTTACCCAATCCATCAGCTTACACTTTTGAGTAAACCAACACCATTCAACCCTCCAATAAATTGGATATATAATACTGAAGGAGTTTGATTTCTTTTTAGGTTTTGATTCAGCATAAGTGATTGCGATTTCGACTCATCTGAGTGTCTTGTATTTTTCGTTCAAAATCTCTCTAAAAAATGAAAACCCAGATCGTTCATCCTTCTTTACAATTTATTTATTTTTGTAAGTCCTAACCCGATCCGTGTACAAATGGAACATAGCTGACGGCGAGATCAGATTTCTGTTAAATCTTAATAGAAATTTTAAGATTAAAGACTAAATCATTACCTAAATTATAGTTAATTTTGAAAGTTCTGGAACTAAATTTGGTTGAGAATGGGAATATGGTGGTTGTTATTATCATTATTTAAATTTAGGGACAAAAGTAGACATTTAAATAGTTCAGGGACCAAAATAAAGCAAACCTGAATGTTTAGAATAAAAAATGCACATAAGTTCCAAGACCAAAATAGAATTCAAACCTAATTAAAAACTAATAAATACTAAATGTATTCATAATTAATAACATGAATCCTAATAAATATCAATTTATCAAGAACTAAATAAACAATCAACTATACTCTGCTCCAAACTATTAATCACATGTACAAACATTAGATGACTTCTTCTTTAAATTAAACTGTATGAAACAAACCGTTACAATTGGGTTTCGACTATACATAAGCTTTCATCAATTTAGGTAATGATTCCAAAACTTTGAAAGAGGGCCCAAGAAAAAAAAGAAATAAGTGGACAAAATCTTCACTTGGAAAATGCAACCTCTTTGGCTCAACTTTCATCTTCTGAATTAGCAGATTCAAGCTCAAGTATGGCATTGAATCCAAACTCTTTTCCTGGAGTAAACAACAGTTTCAGTTCATCTGCTGTTTGTGTTGTGTTAACCTTCTTGTCCTTCACATTTACATTTTCCTGTCTTGGAGTCAACAGAAAAAAATGAACTTCTGCTTTTCAGAATACAAATTCAACAAAAACATACTTGGACAACCACTTTTCCAAGTGATTGATGTCTATTTAGTCCCTAAACTTTAGAATATTTCAATTATGTGATACACTTTCTAACATTAACACTATTGACTACACGATGACGTTATGTACTTATTAAATGACAGAAGAAAAGAGTAGACAACAAGACTAATCAAAATAGTAACTATGAACTTCTTTCTGTCATTTGTCTGTCATGTCATGCAAGTTCAACTAAACATTTGCCTATTAGACATGTCACATCATGATTTAATTAATAATTATAGAACTATATAAAATCCCAGCTCAAAGTTCAGAAATGTAATTGAAACTCTTAAAAGTTTAGGGACTAAATAGTGTAGAGTATAAATTTGTAAAGTTGTTATATTGGTTAAAATAACAGGTTTATGAATACTGATTTTAGTTTACACAATAACATCAACTTCTACTAGTCATCTAGAAAAACCATTTTAAAAACAGCTCAGAAGCAAAGCAATGGTGATAAGACTTGCCTTCTTTGCATAATCTGCCATGGTTGAGTTCAATATTTCTTGTATGACAAACTTTGTGACACGCTCCTCACCAAGGACTTCTAATAGGAAGCTTTTTGGGACCTGAAGGAATTTTTTAGTTAGAAATAAAAACCTTCAGGAAGAAGAGCATGAAATATATAAGATGTAAATCCCGATCAAATTTAGCCAAATCTAAAGACAAATATTCCAAGTTACGTAATGGGAAATGGGAATGACTTCTTAAACTTGCCCATATTTCATGAATATGTTCTTTTTAGATCTACATCATAATAAAATTTTGGTTAAATTGCAAGTTTAGTCTATGAACTATCATTCTAAAAAAAAAAAAAACTATTAAGATTAAATACAAAATTGAAAGTTAAAGATAGATTAGACACTTTTAAAATTCAGAAACCTATTAGATATAAAATTAAAAGTTTAGAGACCTATTAGATGCTTTTAAAACTTTAAGTCCATTTGATAACGTTCCCGTTTATTGTTTATGTTTTCTCCTTTTTGAATAAAGAAAAATAGAATTGTGTGGCCCCAACACTCTATAGATTCAAGAATGATAAAACAACTTTTTAATTTATATTTTGGAACAAAAGTGGAAATGGAAACAAGAAACGAGAAGCTTATTTTTATTTTTTTCAAAATTTCTATATATTTTTTTCTTTCTTTTTAGAATTGTTTCCACAAAAAATAGAAATAAAAAACATAAATAGTTGTCAAATACTTGGGTTTCTTAATAAAATTGGAAAAGAGAAACAAGAAATGGGAATGTTACGATACGGGTCCTTAAAGATCTATTAAACATGATCCTTCAGGAACTAAGCTTCTTATTTAACCTAGGATCCCAAGGAATCTGCCGTTAATTTTGTGGAAGTATAATTAGGACTAAATCCTGAGAAATAAAAGTAGGAAATGATAAGGCATATATTATACGAGTTAGAATAGAATCAAACAACAAATTGGAAAATCAATGGAATCCCGAAGGGGGAAGTAGAAAAGGAAAAAAGAAACAACTCACATTTGATGTTTTCCCTGTCAAAGCATCAACGGGCATGAGGACACGAAAACATTAGAAATCATATAAGGCCAATTCATCGGCTACGAGATATAAGAGCTCAGAAGCTGTAAAGAAACTACATATATGAATTCATATATATACATAGAAAAATCAATTCCCATGCTTCTCTAATATGATGAACATGTAAAAAAAACTTCCGTTACATTATGAATGAATTGTTGTGACATTCAACGGGTAAGGGGAGGAAAATCATGATACTACCTCCTTTTTGCATACGAAATCCTGGCATTGGCGGTGCGGAACGGGCCAAATTTGTCAAAACCTGATCGAAAATTTTTTGTGTCTCGTCCCCACTCAAGTCCACTCGAAGCTGCCAATTGGATCTCATAAGACTTTTGGATAGCTCACTAAGAGTAAATGTATAACAAAGGGAATGTGTAAAAAGTGTAGGGACTTATATTGAGAATAGATTTTTAGTTAGCATTAGTGGGCATAAATGAGATATTATTGGGAGTGTGACCATAGTCCTATATTAGCTAGATAAGGGAAAGACCATAGGTATATAAATAAACGACAACATCTCCATTAGTACGAGGTCTTTTGGGTAAAACTAAAAACAAAGCCACAAGGGCTTATGCCTAAACGGCCTTATGCCTAAACTTGACAATGTCGTACTATTGTGGATATGTGGAGAGATTGATTGTCCTAATAGGTGGTATCACAACAAAGTAGTTGTGAGCCTTGAAGATAGTCATGGTAGTCTGTGGTTGAGCTCTATCAAATGAGAGATGTGCTATGAAGAAAAAGAGTTGACATGGATAAAAGCAATGTGTTCGAAAGTAGTGGATGAATGACTATAATAGGGGACACAGTGATACTTTGTTAAAAAGGAGGATTATCATAGTGCGACCAAATTCTCACATTAACTAGATAAGAGAAAGATCAAATATAAGTGTGGGTCAATATCTCTACTGGTATGAGTCCTTTTGAATGAAACCAAAAAAAGAGTCATAAGTGCTTATACTCATCATACCATTATGGAAAATGTAAATGGTCAGTTGTCCTAACCATATATATATAAAAGGAAATGCAGTTTTTACTCTAATAACAAAAGCAAAGATCAGATATTAAAACAATGACAATTAAAATGGTAAAACTAAATGACGGCGGATTGTCAATCCCATGGTGCAGCCAAAAATGTTACAAATGCCACAACTAGTTCACATAGGTATAGCCTTACCTGTATCAAGTTTTCATCTTCAGACTCTACAACTATCTTAGCATTTTTTAAGGCTATTGCATTGCCTTTGTAATCTGTGATGGCTGCCTCCAAACCTATGACATCACAACAGAAGAACAATAAAACAACACAAGCCAAATTTTTTTTTTTTTTTTTAACGATCAGAACTAGAGTTGTTCTAAAAATTTATGGTTAATAGTTCAAAAAGTAATGATAAAACTACAATAATTTTTAACCAAGTCCAAAATTGTGTTTCTTAAACATGATTTATTAGGTCTATTACGGTGTTTCTTAATCACATCTACAATATATTCGACACTGAGACTATTTTCTGAACTTTAGTTTATAACAATTTAGTCACCCATACTTATAAATTGGTAACGATTTAACCCCTGAATTTTAATATGTAACAATTTAGTTCCTATAATTTGAAATTCATAGCAATTTAGTCCTACAATGAAAAATCTCATCAAAATTAAGTTTTGAACTTTCGAATCTTATCCTATATCTGTAATTTGTAAACATATTTGACCCCTCATCGGTTTATATATCAATCTACATATATCTTAACAAAATTTTTCATAACAGGAATTAAATCGTTACGAACTTTAAACTATAACTACATCGTTACAAACTAAAGTTCAGAGACTAAATCGATTCTTCGATGAAAGTACCGAACCAAAGTTTTTTCTAACCTTTCTAATAAATCAATTCATAGCATGTACTAGGCATGATTTACTATGAAAACTAGCCAAATTTTGTCATTAGTTTTAAGTAGCACTACTTTTTGTAATTTTTATCCAAAGTACATTAAATAAACAGAAACCCTAAATTCAGAACTACCTGAACTAGCTATTGAAGTCGGTCTGGACAAAAATCTGGAACCCAATTTGTGAGGACTACAAGAAAATGACGACCTGAGAAAAGGAAAAATAATGCTTCAACTTCTATCCATCGGTTTTCATATAGGATTCACCAAATTCTAACATGAACAAGCTATATACATCATTAGACTTCTCAATAAACAAATAATAAACTAAGAATCGACATCGAAATTGGAAACCAACCAAAATACAAATTTACCTCCTGCACAGCCCATTTTGTACATTATCGAATTCAACGCCTCCGGAGTTCGAACAGGCCAGAACACTGCGGCAGTAGCCTTTAACAGGAACCTGAAACACAAGAAGAATTTGAAACTGATGATATTGTAAACTTATCGGCGCCAAAACGGAGCAGAAGAAGAAGCAAGATGAAATTGAAATTCGCAGAATTGCTTACTTTGATAAAGCTTGCCCGCCGGTATTCTGAGGCGAGATTGGTTACCGTTGCGGTTGCGGACGCCATTTTTCGGCTGGAAGTTTCTCTCTTGTGTTCTCAGTTCTCGCAGAGCAGAKACTTATCCGAGTCCCAATATGACGTCGTTCTCGGTTGGTTTCTTTCCCTCCTTTCCTCTATTGTCGGTAAATTTAAATTTGGATTTTTCTTTTCGATACCATACCAATTTCAACGCACCACATTTTGCTCGGAGATACATATACTTGAGCTAAGGTCAAAGTTGACAGATTTGAATTCTTAAAATTGTTATTTTTTACCCCAAAATTTAATTTTAATTTTTATTGAAATCCGCTGCAAATACAAAAATATTTACTAAATTAACAAAATAACACAACATTTAATTTATTTAAATATAACTTTTTTTTATAGAAAAATGGGGTTCAATTTTAAAATGATAACTTTATCCAAATGATATATCTGTAATATATATGTAATTTATCTGACTATTGATATATGAATGTGATATAATATGAGTATCTGTGCAATATATATGTAATATATATGATATAAGTGTATGATATATTACTGATATGAGTAGATTTTTTTACTACATTTGAAAGTTAAAAAAATAAATGACATTTTTTGAAATACGTAAAAAAATTTTGCTACCCAAGGCAATTTTTATTTTTATTTGATTCTTAAAATTTTAAATGTAATATATCTGTCCCTAGACTTAGACTTCAATTGTTCATTAAGTTTAAGTTTGGTACTTTTCTCTTGTACCTACTTTCAATACTTTTATATAAATTTCTTTGACCTAATTTTAAATATGAGTGAACAAGCACACTAAATAATTGAAAAGTGAAGATTAAATTTGTAATTTAACTGTAATATTTTAAAAATGTATTAAAAAAGAGAGAATTACTAAAACCATATAAAAGAGAATGAGAATAGGTATCTATTTTTTTATAATGTATTCATTAAGTTTGAAAATTTTATAAAAATGATATAAATTACAAACTTATATAACTAAATCCTAAGATAAACACCTGCCTTGGAAATTAGTAATTTCGATGTGTTTATTAGCACAAAATATTATAGGATTAGACGTTGTCCGAGATTAGTCGAGGTGCGTGTAAGCTGGTTCAGAAACTCGTTGAAAAAAAAATAATAATAAAATCACATGAATCAAAGGTGTAATTCAAAACTCATTTTTTCAAACCATATTAAAAAAAAAGTGATGATATTTTTAGAAAAATGGCTCATGAAATATTTGCATTGGGCGAAAACCGCCGTCTGAAGAAAGGAGACGCGGCTTCATTTCAGTAAAAGTGGATAAGAGAGACGAAATCGACAATGGAAATCGCCGCTACCAACTTCTTTCTCTCCGCAAATCCCAAGGTAAACCTTTCGATTCTCTCCGCCTCAATTCGTTTTCCGTTCAACTTTCAGTGTAATATTCTGACTTCAATCCCGAGTTGATGGAATTCTTCAATTTGTTACCGAACGTTATTGATTGGGCAAGGAATAGGAGAGGCAGTGAGCAATATAACTCACAGTACTGTGTATTAGCTCAGTACAATTTGTGCTGGGATACAAGTTGCTGCCAGACTGATATTTGGGTTTGATGAGCAGTACTATTTATCTGAAATTGAGAGGTTTTTATTCGACGGTTCAAGTTCAATTTGTCCCAATTTGCCACTTATTTGGCATTTTTGGCTGATTTGCCCTGAGTTTTGTGGCATTCCATGGAAATAATCGAAGGATATGTTGTTGTTTGGAGAGGAAGTCGGTTTAACATTGTTTGACATGTTTTGTGGGCAATGACGTAGGAAGTAATAATTTCTTGATAAGAAACAAGAATATATTGAGAACAAAAAGGGGGGAAAACAGCCTAGAGCCGAGGGCCAAGGAGGCCCCAACAAACTAACACATTCCAGCTTTCCAATCTTGTTGAAATAAGACTACACCATAGTTACGAAAGAATTTTCTATGAGTAAGGCACCAAGAGGTGTTCACAAAAAATATCAAAGGACGTCGCTGAGTTGTTGAAGGCTCTTTGCTTCCTTTCATGGAGGAAGTAATATTATACACTCACAATTATCTGGTCATATATTTTGTGGGTTTTGCTTAAAGTTATTTGTTCATACCCGAGGTAGTTTTAGAAAAGTTATTTTTTAAAACATGGTTTCTGTGATCTTAGACATGTCTACTTTACTCACTTTCTTTTATATCCTTCCGTTTCTAATTTTGGTTTCTATGTTGATATTCATTCTTATTAAACCTTCTTTCTTGATTGTAGGTTATATATCATAAGCAGACAGCAGATTGCTTTACTCCAAGCCTCACCTGCACAAGTGTGTCTTTTCCAAGTCAAATAGTATACAGTAGCAGAAAAATTTCTTTGAGGTAATTTCTATTTAATTTTACCAAATTATGTTGCAAATTGTTGCATAAGACAAATTATGAAAGCTGATCGTGCCTCAAATTAGGAAGACTTCAGCATCTAATTGATTTACTCTGAAATTTTCTTTAATATGATGAAGCTAATAGGTTGACCGTTGACCAACAAAGTTGAGTAAAAATAAAACTCATAAGAGACTTGATTTAAAAGGAATTTTTTTACTACTAATCTGGGTGGATATATAAACGCTCATGATTTTCTTCATTTTTCCCAGTTGGATGCTGCATACCCTGTTCTGTAATTTAGTCACTTCAAAACAGAAAGTTAACGTATCATCATGAAATAGCCATCAAGACCATAACTAAATCTTTGGATGGAATTTATTTGGTGGATGGAAAAACCAACTCTTATCTCAACGAAACTACAAAAAAGGCCACCAAAAGCAGGAATGCACCAAAAAGCAATACAAGAACAAACACCAACTGTTTGCTAATAAATCATTAAGAACATTGGCATGATGGCTATATTTTTATTTGAAACTGTTTTGATTGTTTAAAAAGACAAATTGGCATCATTTGTGGCTGCTTCATCTAATTGAGGTCCGCCCACTCCCAACTCCTTAACTGATAAATGTAGCCATCATCATTTGTGTGGTTGTGAATGACAAATAGGAGTTGCCTATGTTTCTAATTATAAATTTTTCTTTGTTCGTTATACAGTAGAAGTAACAGATTTCTTCCAGCTGCTTGTGCTGTGTTATCAGGTTGAAATACACTTCCTTCTCTTCCAAGAGTAATTTCAATATTTTCCATTCGTAAAGGACTTTGTTGGATAAATTTAATTCTATTGGGTACAGAAGATGTGAGTGTTTCTTCTTCTCAGTTTGAAGACTTCTCTGTCACTAGTGCTCTCAATGAGAATAGAGAACTAAAGGTATGAAATACGGTGAGTTTTGGTTGTATTCTTTATTCTTGGCCCCTTTAGTTTGTAGTCCTCAGACTTCTATTGTTGGTTTAGATCCTATTTGGATCCTTAAACTTTCCTACTTATTTTGTTTTAGTCTTTCCCCTTTTCTAATTTAGAATATTTTATTTAGTTCCTAAACTTTGCGTAAAAACTATTGTAATATTTGCCATTGATACTTCATGAATCATTTAACAAAAAATTTGACTCCATTTCAAAGCTCAACATTTAACGCACTAGATGCGACTTCAAACACCACCAACCCATCGTAGATCAGGTAAATGAATAAAAATCATGCTTATGTTAGGTTTCTGTTGAACAGTTTATAAAAAACTAACGGCAAAGATTAAAATGATTAATTATACAAATTTTAGAACTAAAACAAAATGTTTTAATGTTTAGGACCTAAATAATACATGTGAAAATACAGGACCCAAGTAGAATTTAAACCCTTATTGTTTTATGGAGAACTATTTAGTGCAGTTATTTAAATCATGCTAATTTTATTGAGTTTGCAACCAGATTCGTGTAGAGGTGTCCGGTACCAAAACTCGAGCAATTTTCAACAATGTTTTTGATGAAATGGTTGCTGAAGCCCAGCCTATTCCAGGTTTTCGAAGAGTGAAAGGAGGTAATGTGGAGACCCATGTTTCTTATTTGGGGTTCTCATGGCCTTCATTTTTATTTCCCCAGAAATCAGCATAATAGTGTTGCTATCGCGATTGATTTCTGTCGAGCTGTTGAATATTTTGACACGCATAGTTAAGGATATAGGTGGCTGTGTTGTTTTTATATCTCATTTACAGTTCTCATATTATTCAATGACCAGAAACTTGCTTCCTTTCACTTGTTTTCTTACACTGTTTTCATTTTTCTTATCCTTTCCAATTCATTTCATTGGCCTGGAATAATTCTGCTCTTCATCGGATATCAGGAAAGACGCCGAATGTAAGTTTTCTTTCCTTTCAATCTCTCGAGGTTGAGCAAGCAACCGCTGCCAATCTTAATAGTGAATACAGGAGAAGTTGAATACTGACAAGTTCATGAATCGTTTGTAACAGATACCCAGAGACATTCTATTAGAGATACTAGGACCTTCTAGGGTGTACAAGCAAGTTATCAAGAAAGTTATCAACTCTACTGTTGCTGCATATGTGGAAAAGGTAAAGATATAATTGGCATTTTCATATTCTGATTCATATATTTTCCTCATCTTCATGTGCTCACCTTATGTGAAATTGGTTGCTTCAGGTATGTTTGATAGTGTTCCCGGTTTTTGTTTCCATTTTTAAAGAAAAAGAAACAAAAATGTGTTTTTTAGGGTTTTATTTTTTGCTTTCCATTTTTGAAAAGAAAAAAAAAGGAACAAAAATATTTTTCGTAGGGTGTTTCTTGTTTTCCAGTTTTGAAGTAAAAAAAGAATCATTTTGTACAGTGGCCAAATGTTTGGAGATACCCTTTAGGCTCCAGGGTTCTTAGGTTCAAGTCTTTAGGTAGAAAGCTTTAATTTAAATGTGTAGGCTTAGGCCACTAGAGGCTTTCAATACCCTAGATTTTAAAAAAAGTTAATTATTTCTTGATTTTGTTTAGCCTGCAAAGCTCAAGTCATTGGTTCAGTACTACTCTCCGGGGCAAAATGTCCAATATTTACAATGCTTGGGTAGTTATTTGGTAACTTTTTTATAAAAATGAAAGATTTAGTTGGAAAATATATTTTCTTAAGAAGATAAAATATTCAAAATTATTATAATTGTTTTTAGTTCATTTTGTTGAGGGGTGGGGCTCTCAAAGATTTTGATGACTTTAAAGAGATTCTCAGTGCAAACCTTGGCAAATGGATAAAAGGATTGTGTCATCCGCAAATTTAGGGTGATTTATGTCCAAGGAGTCATTCCCAAAGAGCGAAACAAGTCATACTTAGACATTCAACTACTAGAGGGAGAATGTCCTTTATCGAATAACTCTAGATGCTTTGATTTTTCCCCTAGGTTTCCCATTGATAATAGTAGGTAGAAGGTTTAATAACTCTAGATGCTTTGATTTTTCCCCTAGGTTTCCCATTGATAATAGTAGGTAGAAGATATGCAAACCCGAATCCAATCTCTCTTTTAGTTCATCAATAAAAGCTCATTGCGATAAAACAAGAGCATCGAGGACTTGTCTCCCAAACACAAATGCAGATTTGTATTCAAAGATTAGTGCGGGGAAGTATCTCTTTAGACCTCCAAAAGAATTTAGGTGATAATCTTATACAAACAAGAAATGAAACTGATAGGTGTGATGTCATTCACCATTTTAACCTCCAATTATTTTGGGACGAAACAAATGTAGACTTCGTTAAGACTAGTTGGCTTGAATGTATTATTGTGTTGACAAAATGTTTATAGAAAGTAAACAATGATTTTACTTCATAGTTAATATTATCTATACATGGACACAAATATAAAAAGATAGATGGTAAATAGGAGGCCGAGGCACTATTAAGAATATGGTCAGAATTCATTAGTCCTTGATAGGAGGCACCCTAAATTCCATCCATTTAAATCATATACTTGAAGGAGTGGTGCAATTAATATCTTAATTAGTTAGGTCGTGTTTGGTGACTATTTTGTTTTAAGTTTTTTCTTTTTGATTTTTGAAAGTTATATGCTTGGTTCCTCGTCATTTTTTTAGATATGTTTTTCACCTTTCTTAATAACACATTTGAATTTTTAGTCAAAGTTTTAAAACAAAAACAAGTTTTAGAAACAAATTTTTTTTTTTTTATAGTTTTTCAAAATTTGCCTCGGATTTTGAAGACGTTTTTAAAAAGTAGATACAAAATAAAAAAAACACATTGCTGGAAATGGTGTCTATAAGTTTAGTTTTTAAAGAAAGGAAAACTAAAAACCGAATGGCTATGAAATAGGACCTCAAGGTTTTTTTCTTTCTTTCTTTCTTTATTTTTTTGTTTTGCGTTTGAATATTTGTGACCAGAAATATTTATGATTGGATAAGACTATTTTTTAGGTATTAATTTTTTCAATTGTGTTGGATGTTTTTAGTTAATCGGATTTGATATTTTGTTGCTAAGTTTGAGTGTTTTTTATTTGCTTGATTTTATGGCAGCTAGATTCAAGTATTTTCATGATTGAGTTTGGACATTTTTGTAACACGATTTAGGTATTTTGTTAGTTGAATTTTGTATGGTTTGTAGGCAGAGTTTTTGTTTTTTTTTTTACTTTGGGTTGAATCCATTTGCTTACTCTTGGAAATGTTCTTCATGCAATCCAATGAGTAAGATCACTAAAACCATTTGGTTTTTAGTAAAAATTATACTCGTTTTTGTACCATTTCATTAGTAAGTTTTTAATCTCTCTTAAAAATGTATTTGAATTTTTAGCCAACTTTTAAAAACAAAAAAGGAGTTTTTGAAAACTATTTTTTAAACATACTTGAATTTTTTAGTCAAATTTCAAAAACAAGAGACCAAATTTTGAGAACCGTGTGTATGTATGTGCGTGTGTTATATATTTATTGTTTTCAAGGCCTAGATTTTGGAAGTGCTTATAGAAGCTATATAATATAACAAAACAACGACTCCGTGGAAGTAATGTTTCTAAACTTAGTTTTTAAAAACAAAAAATAAAAAACGAAATGATTATCAGATGGGGCTACCAATAATATTTCACCGTGTTGGGACATTTCATATCATAGTGTTTTTCTCTTTCCTTGAAAGTTTTACTATTGTAGCAGGAAGCTCTAAAAGTGGGTAAAGACTTGAGAATAGAGCAAAGCTACGAAGATCTTGAAGATCAGTTTGAACCAGATGAAAATTTCTTTTTTGATGCCATTATTCAGCTCAACAAAACAAACTAAACTGTTGAGCTATGTCTAATTTACTTCCACTCAAATATATTGCAATTTCTTCCATGAATTTCTTTGCTAGGTTGGGCATTATTTGTTCTTGGTTGAAGGCTATCATCAATTCAACTAGAGTTATGCTTGGAATCGCTTTTAACTAAGATATAAAATCTTTCTGGTTTAAATATTATTTTGATTTTGATTCATTTTGGTTCTTGTACTTTCAGAACGTTCGTTTTGGTCTTTGTACCTTCAAATTTTGTTCATTTTAGTTCTTGTACTTTCAAAATGTCAGTTTAGGTCCATGTACTTTTAAAAAAACTAGTCAGCAACACGTGTGATGCACGTGAAATTTATCATTTTATTACTACTACCGAGTAATTTTGTCATTTAAATACAAATTTTTCACTCAATTACGCTAATTTGAGCTCTCTTTCTAAATAATATCTCTCAATGTTTAATATATATATATATATATATCCATTTTTACAAATTTTCTCTTTTTAAATACTAATTTTTGTCCACGTGCAACATTTTTCCCTTCTAAAAGTAAATTTAATGGAGAATTATTTTTGTAACCTCTAATCTGACCAATGTAAATTTAATGGAGAATTATTTTTGTAACCACGTGAGCTGACCATTTGGTCATAGATAGATGTTTTAACACTTGAGCGATGTTCGATTTGACTTAATATTTGTATTAATATAGTAAATTGCGTCCCAAAATAATAAAAATACAACCTTAATTAAAAATAATTAAAAATAAAATAAAATAATTATGATTTTCTATTAATATTCTTTGAAAGCACCCTAAAAAACAAATATTGAAAATATCAAAAGGTATGGACTTTTTATTTTATGTCTAATAAATTTTTGAATTTTTAGGTCTCATTGTATATTCATTTCGTTTTTAATTTTACGTTTTTATAAATTATGTTTGCTTCCTCATCATTTCTGTTTATGCAGGATTTTGCACAATGGTTCTTCACGAATCGAGCTCGAACCCGGTCTCCCGTTCCGACCTGAACACTAGAGTGAACTTGCACAAGAGGGTAAGCACTCCGACGCTCAAGTCAGTATAGATCAGACTCCTTATTTAGTTCGAGGTGAGATTCGATACCTGAGCGTGAAATGAACTCCTCTATTTATAGGTAATGGATCCGACAGTACACACGACCGGCGGTTACATGTCTTTTTCTCATCTCGGACCTGTCGGGTTCCGAGCAGGTCGGACCCCAGTCAGGTCGAACTTTGCTGCCCACACTTAGTCTTCATGTCGGGTAAACTTGGTCTCCCCGGCGGGGCCGAGGTGGACCTAAGCAATCCTTTTTATGCGGTTTCTTCAAACATTAATAAGGGTCCTCCACGTGTCTCGGGTGTGTTTACCCCCAAACATTGGCCCCCTCTCTGTCAGGTTCGATCTCGACCTGGCAGAGAAGTTTATTCGAATCTATTTTGGACACGTGGCGACTTTCCATTTGTAGAGGGAATATGACCGTTGCGGAATACGTTTCGACCTGCCAGGTTGTCGGAGTACTCAAGCGTTTCGCCGTTGCGTATCCCGAGAAGATCCCAGTCGCTCGTTGATTACACGTGTACGACGCGGAGGTTTTTCCGATCAGCTATAAATAGTCCCGAAACTTCAGGTCAAACTTTACGTTTCCTGAATTCCTGGAGTTCGATCTGAAACCAGCTCGAACCCTTACTCTAGGTCAGTCATTTCTCCTTGCTCTTACTCTTCTTTCAAACATGGTAGTTTTCTTATCTTCCCCCTCCAATAGTGATAGCCTGGGTAGTGTAGGTCGGACGATAAGTAGTTCGCCCCCCAAACCGAGTGACTCTGAGGAGGTCTTAGCTCGTAAGCTAGAGTCCGAGCTTGAAGAAATAGAGAACTTTAGGTTCTCAGATGATGGAGAGGATAGCGACACCTTCACCTCGGGCCAGGGTCTGAAGTACCCTTCTAGGATGCCCGAACATTATCTTGGACCCCTTCGTAGGGGGTTTAACATTCCGAATGACAT